TTTTTTTTTTTTTTTTTTTTTTTTTTTTTTTTTTTTTTTTTTGGTTTTTCGAGACAGGGTTTCCCTGTGTAACAGTCCTAGCTGTCCTGGAACTAGCTCTTGTAGACCAGGCTGGTCTTGAACTCACAGGGATTTACCTGCCTCTCTCTCCTGAGTGCTGGGATTAAAGGCGTGCACCATTACCACTGGCCGGGACTGTAGTTTTTATACACTGTATGACACCACTACTCAAGTTTTTGCTTCATGTGTATATGCATATATTTTTACTTGTTGAAATTTGCTATCAAATAGACTATTGATGACTGGCTTCCCACCATTACATTGTTTTGCATATTACTGGGTTTTATTTTGTTTTGTATTTTAAAGAATTTCACATGTGATTCCTTCACTGTCCATAGGGGTCATCCTCCTCCAAGTTCAAGATTTTTTTTACTCTTCTTCTTTTTTTTGTTTTTTTTTTTTTTTTTTGAGACAGGGTTTCTCTGTAGCTTTGAAGCCTATCCTGGAACGAGCTCTTGTAGACCATGCTGGACTTGAACTCTCAAGTTCAAGATTTTAAGACAGCCCTTTGTGTGGGAACTGATGCTTAGTGCAATCATGCTCTTGGTCCATAATTCTTTTATTTTACATTTGATGTGTGTGTGTGTGGGGGGGGAGAGCTTGTTCATGCTATAGTGAACCTGTGGAGACCAGTGTGGCTCCCAGCTATGGAACTCGGGTTCCATGGTGGCAAGTGCCTTTGACCCACTGGGCCATCTCACAGGCCCTATTTAAGTTCTGTTATCTGAGCTTGGGTTAAGGACATTCCAATTTGTTGAAACGATTTACCTCAGGATTCATTTTAGGAAAGGCAATCTTCTCAATTGTTGGTACCCCACATCTCTTCATGTCCACACCGATTCCTAAATTATCACACCCAGGGATACTACAGATCTGCAGGATAGGCCAAGGTCTAAAATCAAAAGTCAGATTAGTGAGTCTTCAATAGTTTATGAACTCTCTTTCTTCCCACAAACCTAGGAAACTGACTCATTCCCATGAGTCAAGCAAAACCACAGGTACAGTATAAGGTGTTTCCAGTCATCTGTGGTTACTGGGGAAGCTAGATGAGGCTCTATGTTGCTCTGGCCATCCTGGAATTTGCTGTGTAGACCAAGTTGACCTCAGATTCACAGAGACCCTTTTGACTCTGTCTCTCGAGTCCTAGGGAAGGTTCTTTGCCACCACACCCAGCCTTTGCCATGCTTTTTAACTGTGGGTTCTGGGATTGAGCTCCTGTTGACAAACACTTCACCATCTGAACCATCTGTATCTCCAGCCCCTGATCAAATTTGTCATTTGTCTTCTCTAGGCCTTAGAGAACCTTGTGGCTCAAAACACCACCGGCCCTGTCTTCTACCCAAGGCTCTACCATCTCATGGCTTATGTATGCATACTAATGGGAGATGGGCATAGTTGTGACTTCTTCCTGAAGACAGCTCTGGAGCTTTCTGAGGCACAAGGAAATTTGTTGGAGAAATGCTGGCTGAGCATGAGCAAGGTACGTACCAGCAGCCACCAGGCCACTGTGTGTGCTGGGGTTATGTATGTGGGCGCTCACCCTTCTGAGGAAGCAACAGAAATCACTTCTTGGTTGGGTTTTAGGCAGCATGGGAAGTCATGGTCTTAGTCCACTTGGGCTTACGTGATGTGGGAGTGTCATATATCAATCTGTTGATTTCATTGGTTGAGCAATAAACCAACTGCTTGGCCTCATAGCTTAGAACATAGATGGGAGGAGAAAACAGAATAGAATTCTGGGCGGAAGAGGAAGTGAGGTCAGACTCTGCGCTGCTTCCAGAGGGACCGGACAGCCGCCATGCTCTGCTCTCCCAGGCAGCTGCAACCCACGATGGACTTAGGCTAGAATCTTCCCGGTAAGCGCACCTTGGGGTGCTTACACACATCATTAGAAATGGGCTAGTCCAGGTGCGAGAATTAGCCTGTAAGGGCTAGAGTTCATGGGCCAAGCAGTTCTTAAATGAATACAGTTTGTGTGTTGTTATTTCAGGCATGAGCTAGCCAAGCGGCCGGGGTGTTGGGGACGCAGCCCCGCCGCTCCTATTTCAACACTTACGAGGCATTTACTGCCCACAGTTTTGCAGGCTGCTGAGTCTAAGACTGTGGCGCTAGAACTCAATATCCGAGGAGGAGTATCTCCTCACTGATGGTGCCTCTGGCTGTGCCCACACCAGTGGCAGGAGGAGCAGCAGCCAGAGACACAGCCCCACTCTGCCACCTGACGCCTGAGGAATTCCCTAGAGAGAACCTCCACTCAACTGAAGCCGGGATTCTTGACATTGTGGCTGAAAATAATCGGAGGCTAAATCCTTAAACAGAAGTAGAGCTGGGGGGCAGGAAGAGGAGGCTTAAACACGGGTTTGAGCACGGGCATTAATAGTGCTTAGAAAAGGGAGAGCACACACACACACACAACTTAGTGTGAGCTTTTCAGGAGTGATTCATTTACTGTGTGATTCTGGTGGCTTCTGAAACTGCATTGTCCAAAGGTGGTTCCTGGAGACATCTGTCACAAGGACAGCACAAGGAAGCTAAGATTTTTTTTTTTTTAAGCTGTAAATTATGTTTATGGTCTTTTTCTTCCCCCTGAGGTTTCCAGAAACCTGCAGCTTCACAGCTTGGGAAGGCACAAAGGCATATTCAAAGTTACTTGTGGGGCTTTAGCATGGATTGTTACTATTTTAGTATTCATATTTAAGATCCTTGTATGGGAGAGGAAGCTCGCCTCCACATGGTAAGCTTCACAACCCATTCTGATAATCGAGTAGGCATTCTTAACTTCAACCAGACTCTAGAGCAGTGGTTCTCAACCATAAAATTTTTGTTGCTACTTCATAACTATAATTTTGTTATGAATTGTAAATACCTGACGGTCTTAGCTGACTCCAGTGAAGGGGGCAGGCAACCCCTGTGAAAATGTCATTGGATTCCCAAAGGGGTCATGACCCACAAGTCATGAACTACTGATCTAGAGCAAGCGACTCCCTCCTTCCTAGTGTTCTCTTAATTTTCCCTGTCTTTCTGTTCTCCCTACTTTTTGCCTTTCCAAAGAGCTCCCATGCTCTTTTGTAAGGACACAGACCCCAAGGACCTCAGAACCCGATCTCCCCAAACCCTGGCTTTCATTACTATCACCTTAGGGGTTGGGCTCCAACATGTGGTTTGTGGTGGATAGACACACATTCCAGCCACAGTGATCATCACAGACCTTACCTAAAAAGGGTCTGTACCCATAGCTCAGGACTTTGCATTTCTTCTTACTCTTCAGAGAATTCCCTCATACAAACCCCCTTAGCACGGTCTCTCCCCATCTCTGTGGCTCCTTCCACTTTCCTTTTGCTTTCATGACTGTCCATATGGGAATGTTCAAAGATAAAACTCGGCTCAGCACCCAGCATGGTATTGTGAAATGAGTGACTACACGTGCAATTATGGGTACTTAATTTGAAGATGCATCCACATCCTGCTAATTTGTACAACAAAAATCATTTTCATCAGTTGTGCCTGTTAACGCAGGCTTGTAATCCCAGTACTTGGGAGGCGGAGCCAGGAAGATGAGGAGCTCAAAATCATCCTCAGCCAATGCATGGAATCATGAGAGAGAGAGAGAGAGAGAGAGAGAGAGAGAGAGAGAGAGAGAGAGAGAGAGAGAGAGAGAG